TCAGGTAATGGAGCTGCATAGGGTCTGTGGGTGGTTCAGGGGGTGGCTGTCAGAGGTTTAGCTGTGTGTCTTTGGGTGAGTGTATATTTTTCTGCCCGTAGGGTACACATTTGTGTGATTTGTCTATATTGTAATTACCTACGGTCTTTGGGGACGAGTGTGTATTTGTGGGAGCATCAGCATGTGTGGGTGTCCTTGGAGGGGGTGTGGGTACATATGTGTGTGTGTGACTCTGAAGGTGTTTCTGGGTTAGGGTGTGCCCTTTGGTGTGTTCGTGTGTGTATATATCTGAGTGTGTGTGCGTGCACCTCGGGGTGGGTGTGCACAGTTCTGGCTGTGAGCCCGTGAAGGTCTGAGGAAAGACTACAACACACAATTATTTTGGGCCCTGGGACTGGACTAATTGGGCAAAACCCCCTTCATGGCAAGGTGGTCTGTTATCCATTGGAGGCCCCCTAGGAGCCAGTTAAGGAGGAGAGACTTCTTGATGGAGAAAATAGTGAACAGACCTGTGGAGTCCCCTCATTTTGCGCTGCCTGGGCCCCTCACCTGGACAGGAGGCTGAGCGGGGGCTGGGGTGGCCCTGGGCCCCGGACCACACACTCTAGTTTCCTGAAACAGGCCATTTTGTGTAACCTGAAGCCCCTTCTCTGACATGTTCCAGACGTCCCCACACACTGGCAGCCCTCACAGCCCGAGGTAACACAGCCCCTTTGTCTGGCCATGGCCTTTCCTTGAACATGTGGTTACTACGGTGTTGAAACTGCAGTGCCTGCCAGCCCCCTCTGTGGGAGAGGAAAAGTACCAGCCCCTCCCCCAGGTGTTTGGTCTGAGGCCCAGGCGCCTCTGCAATGAAGGGGCCTCTGTAAGGAAGGGGCCCAAGTGTGCATCGTGGGCACAGTCAGCTGGAAGCAGGGACCTGGGCCCAAAACCCAACAGGACCATATCCTTCCCTGGGGTGGAGTCGGGGAGAGAAGCCCTCAGACTGAAGCAAGGGGCCAGTCCCCGGAGCTCCTAACTGACCTGCGGTGGCCAGCTCATCCACATTTGTCTGAGGACTGTGCTGATTTAACACGGGAAACCCAGGGTCCCAGGAATCCCCACAGCCCTGGGCACCCGGGATAGTCGGCCCCCTAACCCCACCCAGGTAGCAAACTGGGGCCTCCTGCGGGGCAGCTGCCTCTTGCCCAGCAAGTGACCTCAGGCCCCCGAGGGCATTGTGTGGGGGCTGGAGATCGGGGTGGGGGAGCCTGAGGACTTGGCTCGCCACCCTCAGACTGGCCAAGGCTGCGTTTTCCTGCTGTTCTGGCCCGTGCCCACCTTCCCTGGCACCAAGAGCTCAGGGTGGGGCTTTCAGAGGAGGTTCACACCCTTAACACCTATTGGTCACCTCACATTTGGTCTCCAGACCGACCTCCTCGAGGTCCTGGAGCAAGCTGACGGAGCCAGGGCTGAGAGCGTGGCTGGGGACCATGAACAATGCATTTGAGCTTATGTGAGCAGAGAGGTTGGGGGGGGGGGGGCGGCCTCCATGTCAGGGCAGGAGGCTCTGGGGACAAAGGGTTTCTGAGAACAGGAGTGCTGGCCTCACCGTGGAGAGGAGTGGGGAGGGGTGGGCCTGGGACCTCCCTAACTCTAACCTGCCAGGCCCTTGGTATCAGAAAAGCTCTTTTTATTCTCCGACTCAAGATGGATATAAATGTATATATAAATCAAAATGAATTCAAAATTAATTCCAGAAGGAAGTGAACCCCATTGCAGGGGCAGCGAGCTTGGAAAAATGACCACCCCCGGATGTCTGAGTGTCCAGAACTTCCTGCCTTAACCTCACTATTGCATTTCCAGCGAGGACCCGAGGGGCCGTGTGGGAGGGGAAGGGTGGATTCTAAAGGGTTGTGACCCCTGGAGTGTTTCACTGCATCCTGCCTGATGTTAAGCTTTGCCAACTTGATCCTGTTGGCTACCCATGTGCCCACTCTCAAGGAGGCTGGGCATTTCCACCTCTGCCGGAGGCTCTGAGGGGTCAACTTTGTGGGCAATGAGATGTGTAGGTGCAGCCTGGGGACAGAGCTGTGGCAGAGCTTGGAGATTGGGAGCAGAGGTGGGAAGGGCTGGGACCATCTCCCTCTCCTTGCCTTTCTGTCCTCACTTTCTCTATTGGGACCTCCTTTTATTTCTGGGGCCCCGCCCCCGTCAGTGGCGGCTGGGGTCTTTGCATCACCAGTACTCCATCCTTGCTGGATACTCTAACCCCTGTTGTCACGCAGCGTCCTGAAAACAGTGTTTTTGAGAAGGGACTACTGTCTGTCTGGACCATCACTGCCTGGGACAGAGGAGATGGTCAACAGATGTATGTGGATTGAATGAATGTGTGACTCCAATTACAGAAGTTAGGCAGTTAGTCAAGTTTACTGTGTGTCTACATGGGGGACTGACCACTGAACCCCGGTCTGCCTGAGGCTCTAACTGGAATCAGGTTGCCCCAGATGACGCTGCCCTCCCCTCAGACACCCCGACACCCTTCCGTGTCCTGATTCCTTCATGGTACTGCTGCTGTTGCCCTCACCCCACCCTGATCCTGCCTCCAAGTGAGTCTGTCCTGTGTCCAGTCCCTGAATGGCCTCATCCCGTTGAGCTGACCCTGATTTGGGCGGAGGTTAGAAGAAAGGCACTGTATTGTCAGAGGTTTCTCTTATGGGTTAGCTTCCTGTGCGGTGGTCCTGTCCAGGGCATAGGTTCCCTGGGACCCTGAGCACCCCTGCCCCTCCTCCTGTCTGACCACCAGCCCTCCAGCCTCACCTCTTGTCATTCCCCCAATGCCCTGGCCTTCAGCTGCACAGAGAGACCCTAGGACCCCTCACAACACCAAGCTCCTCTCTCCTCGGGCCTGCACTTAGGCTGCTTCCTTCTCCTCTAGTCTTTTCCTCTCACCTGTCACTGACCCTGTTCCCTGAGCAGCTCCCCTGGGTCGGTTGGGGGGCATCCCACACAGCTCTGGCCCAGCACGTGTCACCCTGCAAAGCCCGGGGGTGGGGAGGGCGGGGACACCACCCTTTGAGTCTCTCTGACCACACGTTACTCCCTTGATGAGGGTCATGAGCAAAGCTCGTCAAGACAGGGACGTGGGAGAACAGCCCACACAGGTCTCAAACTTTTGGTGTTAAAAGAGGGAGAAAATAACACTTATATACATGTTGGTACAGAAACTCTTGAAGAAGCTGTGCTGAGGGTACCCCGAGGGGCAGGTGGGGAAATATTTATTTTTATAAAAGAGGGTAGCTGGAGGGGAGGTGGATGAGGCTCCCTTTGAAGAGGAACTGAGTGGTGAGTGGAGGTGGACCAGGCTCCCTTTGAAGAGGAACTGAGCGGTGAATGGCTCTGCAGGCCCTTGATTTTTACTTATTTATTTTTAAACTAGAGGCCGGATGCACAAAATCCGTGCAAGAGTAGGCCTTCCTTCCCCCAGCTGCCAGCTCCGGCTTCTCTCTGGCACCCAGGACCCAGGCTTCCCTCCAGCCGCTGGCAGGCACCAGGGACCCTGGCTTCCCTCGAAGCCCCAGCTTTGTCCGGAAGGACATCCAGTCTAATTAGCATATTATGCTTTTATTATTATAGATATCTATTTTTATTGATTTCAGAGAGGAAGGGAGAGGGAGAGAGATAGAAACATCAATGATGAGAGAGAATCATTGATGGGCTGCCTCTTGCACACCCCCCACTGGGGATCGAGCCCGCAACCCAGGCATGTGCCCTTACCTAGAATCCAACTGGGGACCCTTCAGTTCACAGGCCGATGCTCTATCCACTGAGCCAAACCAGCTAGGGCTCTGCAGGCCCTTTAGTTCCAACTCCTTTCTGAGCCTCCCAGGCCACAGGCCACAGGCCCCGCCCGAAACCTGTGGGTCTCCTTCCTGCTGCTTTTGGGCAGGTTCCTGGCCGCCTGCAGCTGCACCCAGGATGCCCTGACCTGGCCACCTCCCCTCTGCTTAGATTGCCCTAAGGGCCTGGGGGGCGGGGAGGGGGGCTCTCTTGGGGAAGGACTGCCCAGAGCCCTGTTTTGAGCCCAGGCCAGCTCAGGGCTCTGTGGCCCAGGGCAGGGATTGAACTTAGTTCTCCCCTTCGCATAACATGGGTGCGATCAGAGTTGGAGACGATGGGCGAACACTTGGAAGACTGTCATGGTCCCGTCAACCTCTTTCCTGAGGGGTGGGGACCCCAGCTGATTTCCCCAAAGTCACCCACAAGCTGTTATTGACCATACGCAGGATGAGGCACCCAGCCCCATCTCGGGGAGCTTCTGTGCCCGTAGACACCTGAGAGCCCCGCATGCCAACCTGTGAAAACAGCCCGAGTCTCGGTATCTCACGGGATCTCCTAGTCACTTCGCCCACAGGGCTGACTCCGCCAGGCGCGTTTCAGCCAGACTTCCCTGAATGCCTGGATTCTGCGAGGTTCCTGCTGGGAGACACCAGGGTGGGCCCGTGGGTGGGTCGCAGGTCCCAGCCCTGACGATGGGAGACCATCTCTGCTCGCAGGGCCCTGGGGAGCTCTGCTGCCCAAGGCTGGCCCCACTGCTGTGGAGACCTGGCATAGAAGCCAGGGCCAGGGAGCTGACCGTCCTTGAAGACACTCAGGCAGGGCCTGGGCATCCCTGCCCCCCAAGTCCTAAATATGAAGGTGCCCGGCACCACCCTCTTTTCTGTGGGCGGCAGTTCTTGATACTAAACCCCAGAAGCGATGGAAGCCATGGGGTTTTTTTAAGATGCTGGCTGTCCCTGCGTTACACCCGGCTTCGACCGCCTGGCCGGTGAGATGACTCCACAGACACCTTCAGACCTGAGAGAAGGAGCCCCTAGCCAGAGCCACTTGAAAAGCATCTGGTCCCACCCCCTCGTTTCAATGATGAGGAAGCCGAGCCTCAGAGGGGAAGTGACTCTCCCCAGAGCAGGCTGGCGACCAGGCTGCAGGAGAAATGACATCTCACAGCTTGTTCAACTACACAGGACCACCAACAGGTAACAGCCCCTGGGCCACGTAGAAAGACGGAGGCACAGAGCCACGGACTGACCTTGCTTTTGTGGACTGCAGGTGACCTTCCTGATGTCAGCCGGGCCTCCCTGGTCTGGCCTCTGTCCACACCTGCCCTGGCTCAGCGGGAAGTACCAAGTGACAGGAGCAGGGGTGGCCCTGGCAGCTCTGTGACAGCAGCAGCTGCAGGCGAAGGGCTGTTTTGCCCTGATAGCAGTGACATTTTTTACGACCTCACTTCTCTGATTTGCTCAGATGCAGTACCAGGCTGGGGGAGGAAGCCTCAGGGTTGGCAGCC